TTAAAAATTTTTTTTTTTTTTTGATTTCTAATTTGTTCATATGAATTTGAGATTTATTATGGCAGATGTGATTAAGTTCCCATACAAGTCAACAGAGGTTCTGACATAAGTTCCCAGGTCTCACGGTCGATGTCTGCTGGGGAAGTACAGGCTTTAGTTCACGGAGAGTTCATGTCTTACGATAATTTCTTCCTTCCATGTTACGATTTTTTGTGAGGAACAATATAATTCCTTGGCTCAAGGATATGGAGTGGACAGTCTCAATGGCCTTACCCCCTCCTTTTCTCACTGTGTGAGGTTCTCTCTTTTGGTGATATGGGCTTCCTTGGAAATTCATTCCTTTGGTTCGAGCTCATATGCATTCACTTTAGTGGATACTTCTTGACCAATGGAACTTCTCCCACAATCCCTTGGACCATCCCATTACCCACCCCACCCCTGGGATCAGGCCAACCTTGCTTGGTGGCTTTTCAGGGAACTGACCACAGTGGGGGGTCCCATTTCTCCACTTTGTCTAGAGTCTTCAATATCCTGGAACTTTTGGCATCCATTGGGCTCTGTATCATTTTTTCCCTTTTCTGAAGGGGCAGGTGGTTATGGTTCATTCCAACTATACTACTGTTGATGGTTACATCACCAAGCAAGCTCTGATGGGAACAAAATCCAGATCTGTGTTTTCAGACTGTATCTTCTTTACTGGGCCCATGACCACTACATGGCAATCTTGGTGTGTCACGTTCCTGGCATTATGAACTTTGTGGCTGATTGCTTATCTCAACCTAACCAGAAAGAAAATTTGTGTGTGGTATACTGCTTATATAGCCTTTTATAATATATCTTTTCCAATATCTAAGGATTCCAGCATCAAGAACTACAGTAATTTCAGTGACCTAATGACAAGAGTATTTATTATTCACAATTTACTGATTTAGGCTGATTTTGTTTCTTCATATAAAATTTTGAGAGGGCTCCATGAAACTAGCAACCTGTATGGTTCTGCAACCCTTGAGAAACAATTTGAGCTTTTGGGAAACACTTCAAATACTTTATTAACAAAAGAGGATATCTATAGAAAGATTGGAAGTAAGAATAAACTTGTATCCAGCAGATCAAATTAAGTACTTAAAGTTATATCATGAGAAAAACATATGCTTATTCAGGAAATAGTTCCCAGAGGATTGTTGATTTTTGCAGCATTTGCAAGGAAATTATAACCTTGTCTTCTATGTATTCTCATCTGTTAAATTATGTAATTTTGACGCATCTCAGTTTTTTTTTTGTAGAATCAAGTGATAAATTTATCACAATGAATAAGAAACCTGCTTCTAATTTCAAAGGAAAAGAATTTCACGATGCAAGAGATACTCTTATTTGATCATATGAGCAAAATTTAAGAAAAGGCATTATTCATTAGTGAGTACAGTTGCTCCATATTCTGTTGAACCTTGTCCTGCGTGTGTAGTCAAATTTTTCTGGATGGTGCTCAGTTTGTAACATTGATGTCCGTTTATTACCTAGGTTTTCAAAACTCATAATTAATGAAGGGTATGGAGAGAAAACTCTTTGCTTAAGTTTTGCAAGCTCAACTACAGAGCAGGAAACTGCTGTGAAACACTTATTAGTGGTAGAGAATGGGCATTGTTTGGCAATACCATTTGAGAAAAGAAAATCCTCCTTAAATACCAGCTTTCTTGGCAGTGTCTTATTTTCTAATGGGCATGGAAAATCAATGATAAAGAAATTGAATTTTGAAAAATGGTAATTGTACATATTTGGAGGGGGGAAGCATTTAATTTTACTTAGGAACACGTGTGCATTTGATGATGATGTTTAGATTCTTGCTGTTACTTGATAGTGCTGACTACTGTTCATGCACACCTTAACACCATGACACTAGTGTATTCACTAGCCAAAGAGGAAGTAATTTTTAGCATACCATTTGCAAACAAGAAATATGATGATTTTGTCAAATAAATGTCAATGGGCTAATGAATAAGTTCTTGTAGATGGCTTCTCCACACTTTGCCCATAAGCAGAAAGATTAATGTAGTGGCAGTTGCCATCAACACCTCAGTTTTTCAGGACCATGGAATATCACAAGTTCAGGATACAAGAAGCAATGATGCATATATTCTGCCCTTATTCAATGGGTGTTGTGCAGTCTGCTGGTTCATGCAGTTCATACAACAGTTTTTGTCAATCAATATGTTCAAGTTAAGGTGGTTTTGGATGTGTAAAGTTGAGATCTGGAGACAATGGTTTTTGCAGCATTCATTTGTTCATAAAATACATTCAATTCTTCCAGTAATTATTACCTAACGGTGAAAATATCTGCTTATCAGAAACCGAAGTCTTGGTATTATTGTCTCTAACTTAGAAATTTTTCCACAGAGAAAACTATTATTGACAAATTGTACCATATATAAGAATGACAGTCAACTCCCACTTATCCATAAGAGAGAAAACAAAGTTGGTGTCTGTTATTCACCAACTGCTTTCCCTCAGTTAAAAAATTATGGTTGCCTGTACTTGTATCTTTGGGTCCTTGACCTGGATACAACTAATTTATTCCATACATTTCATGTTCATGTAAGTTAGACATTTTTAAAGCAATTTGAAAACTTTCTTGAGGTGGAATATTAATGTCTACTTGGCATCTAAAGTATTAGTTTCAAAACCACTGGGAATGGAACTATGAAACTTGAGCAAAAAACCATTGTCCTTTATATAACTTAGTATGAATCTAATAACTGTGAAAGAATCTTCCCAAGAAGAAAAAGAAATTTACCCCTGTGGGTTGTCATTTGCTGAAACAATAAATGGTAAAAATATTTCACATTTTGTGGTCCTTTGGACAACTGGAATGATGGGGATAATGGCTCATCATATACCTTCTGCACACTAAATTTTGGAGTTTGGAGAATAGAGTTGGTAGGGTTAGGGGAAAATTGAATTTGACTAAACTTCTGAAACCTTAACACAACTGACTAGCACCTTTCAAGTATGAAGTGTTCACTTGTATGTTTCACAATTCAAGTGAAAATAATAATTCTAACTATGATATGTTGTTATTTTGTAACATTTATTGTAGTTCCAAGGTGCCTAACTTGTAAACAAACCCCTTGTCAATTTGAATTTTATAATTTTTCTGGCCATTCCAAACCAGATGTTTACATTTGCTAAGAAACTTCTCCATTGAGAATATAGTTAGTCATGTATTTTTGTTTTTAATTTTTGGGATTTTATTATTAAGCCCATTTTTTAATGTCATAGCAAGTAGTCTGAAAATTAATGGAACACAGGTTTGAAAAGAGATAGTCTAAATATTATTGGATATAACAGGTTATGGATTATTTACAGTAGTGTAGAGTAAATAAGGTGATGTGAACAGTCATTCATAATTTTGTGGGGATGTGAACAGATGGAACTTTAAAAGAAAATAAATAAAGGAACCTAATGTAGTAGTTTAGGAAACTTTGGAACAAACCACAGATGTGGAAATATTTTTACCTTCTTTGAACATTTTTTCATTCCTGAATGTTTTCCTGTTAACTCTTTGAAAGCTACAGAAGTTTTCTTATTAACTTTCTTTATTTTCTCTGTATTGGCATTAATTTTCTTTCTTGGCCTTCTTTTAATTTTTTCCATTGTTTTATTATTTCCATTAGATTTTCACTCTTGCTTTGAGCATTTGTCATACTCTTGGAGTTGAGTGTTTTATTTTATTTTTGCCAAAATGACATCAGTTGAGCTTGGTTAGGTTTAAGTAATACATTAAGTGAGGGTAACATTGGGATGACTAATCCTTATTTATTTAATGTTAATAATTATCAAAATGGCAGTGCACGTAACATGGTTTTCAAACAGAACTAGAGGTTTATAGCTCAATGCTAGCATAACAAATGACAATTTCTAACTAATCACAATTCTTGTCTTTGGGTACTCACTCTCATATGATGGTTAATTTTGAATGTACGTAACTAAAGGATTTCTGAAATAGATCAGATCATTTTTATTCTTAAGAAAAGAAAGGGTGGGTATGATCTTTCTGAAGTTTACAAGATTATCCAATAAAGAATAGGTTAAAGCTTTCAATTTCCTTAAGGACTTAAGTTGGAAATTTGGAAACAGGTTAGGTTTTTAGTTAAGAAATGGTTTTGTTTTCATAATAGTGATTGGGATATGAAATGAATTACTGTTGATCATTGTGGAAGCTAACACTTTACAAGAGTTTAACTGAATCTGCACAAGAAAATGGAGAAGGAATGTTGACTATTTTCAAATTTCCTGTGTTTATGTAGCTACACAAAATGTGGCAAAATAAAAGCAACCAATTATCTGCCGACCATCGAAAATTTGATTATGCATGGTTTGTCCAACACACAAACATGAGCACTCTAGATTGTTCTAACATATTTTCATTTACAGGTGCATTTGGTATTGCATGTGAATGCTATAATGTTTGATTTTATATTTTCAGTTCATATATAATACTGTATAGGTAAAACTGTTCATTTATATGTAAAAAAAAAAAAATCAACATAAAAGCATTTATCGGAGGCTTGACGATGCAATGTTCCCATATCCCTTTTAATCCTATAAGGTATTGAGTTCCTCCAACACGGCTTGCTCGAGGAACGTATCCCCTGTGTTGGAGGAGCGCTCACTGTATTACAGGATTTTGTAAATGGACCACAAGAACCACTTCAATTTAAACCTGGTGCTAGCCAAAGTTGGTTGTGTAATAGTGTTCCACAGGGAGAATGTTACCTTAAAGAATAAATGCAGTATTATCTGGATCAACCCGTTAAAACTGTTCTTGAAAATTGATGCATTATATTTCACCTAGACCACTATTGTCCCTTTAAAATTGTGAATTTTCTCATTTTGAAAAAAAAAAGTGAAAATAAAGTTTAAGTTGCAGTTAATTTTATTTCTATTTTCATAAAGCTTAATACAATATTGTTTCAAAAGTTTTTTGTTTCTTTTCACTTTTTTAGGAATGATAGATTGCTTTATTCGAATCCCAAAAGAACAAGGCTTTCTGAGTTATTGGCGTGGAAACTTGGCAAACGTCATCAGATATTTCCCCACCCAAGCCCTCAACTTTGCTTTCAAAGACAAGTACAAGCAAGTCTTCCTGGGAGGTGTTGACAAGAAGACCCAATTCTGGCGGTATTTCCTTGGTAATCTCGCTAGTGGAGGAGCAGCTGGTGCAACTTCTCTCTGTTTTGTTTACCCTCTTGATTTTGCTCGAACCAGGTTAGCTGCAGACATCGGAAAGGCAGGAAGTGAACGAGAGTTCACTGGATTGGGTAACTGCTTGGTCAAAATCTTTAAACATGATGGCCTCATTGGACTGTACAGAGGCTTCAATGTATCTGTGCAGGGTATTATTATCTACCGAGCAGCATATTTTGGCTTCTTTGACACAGCTAAGGGTATGCTTCCAGACCCCAAGAATACTCCTATTATCATCTCCTGGTTAATTGCTCAGACCGTAACCACAGTAGCTGGGATTATGTCTTATCCTTTTGATACTGTCAGGCGGCGCATGATGATGCAGAGTGGAAGAGCTGCAGATCAGAGGATGTACAAGAACACCTTAGATTGTTGGAAGAAGATTCACAAAACTGAAGGTGGAGCAGCCTTCTTCAAGGGGGCATTCTCTAACGTCCTAAGAGGCACTGGTGGGGCTTTGGTACTAGTACTCTATGATGAAGTGAAGAATTTTATCTTTTGAAAAAAATAAAATAAAGTACTAAGCTTAGGTAAATGATAGAAACTAGATTGTTCTTAAAACTGGAAAATTTGGACAGTATCATTTTGTTTTGGATAGATATTAAGGCACTGTAAATTTTACACTGTAATTAGTGTATAACATTCCAGATTTACAATATTACAAACTTAAGGTATTAAGACCTTTATGACCATTTTTTCATTTTTTTAAACCTTTACTCTGCACATTCAGTATACTTCTGTTGATAATAAATGTAGCCTGAAATCTAGCATCTTAATTGTATCTGAGAAGAGAAGAAAGTACAGTGATAGTAGAAATATATTACTTTGTAAAATCAAGGTATATGAATTAAAAAACTTAAATTGGTGTCCTTTTGTTTTTATTTGTAGAACACTTAAGTAATTCTGAAGAAATTTCAAAAATTCTAATTTATAAAGCAGTCTTCTATGTAGTTTGGTACAAAATGGTTTTTCCTCGAGTAGTTATGTTTTAGATTTTTTTTAACATTTTAAAATTACAAGGTATTTGACAGGGAGAAAGTTGTATTTTTAGGTTTTTAAGTTTGCTAATAAGAATATGTAGTTTTAATACTAGTATAAAACTTAGGTCAATGAACAAGAATTTATGCAATTTTAATTTTATTTAGTTTGTAAAACTTTCAGAAGTATTTAAAAACTAATAATGTGGAATCACTAATTTTATTCAAATAACAAATATATAAACAGCCACATCTCATTATTTATTTTTGCAATAGTTTTGTGTAATTAAGACTTGACAAAATTTACTTTTTAATTTATGTATTTGAGACTTGTGTTGGTGCAGTAGAACAATAATTAACCCCTAGTACGTAATTTGTTTAGTCTTAAGATAGGTTAGACAATCTTGTAAGAAAGACAATTGTATAGAAGCACGCTTAAATTTGGAGTTTGAATTACTCTTACACAGTGTATTATAGATAGAAGCAGTTTTCAAGTACATCAATAAGCTCTTTAGTATTTTAAGATAAAATGTTAATGTATTTTAAATATTGTTTATAGTTGGAGTCAGTGACCTGATTGTATAAAATGTGAACGGAGTTGTAGGCTGATTGTGTTAGTTTTAATGTCATTTCAAAACAAAAGTAAGATTAGTTGAAGGTAGCACGAAGTTGCTATGTTAGTTTGTGTAGTTGAGACGTTCCAAAAGTGAAACTTCGAGCACAATATTATTATTATGTTTGGTGGAATGAAATTTTATCTTGCTGTGATTCACTAATTGTAAAAAAAAAAAAAAAAAAACTAAAAAAATTTAAGGTTTTTACAAGAAAAAGTAATTTATCACTCGGAAACAAGCTTTTCCTTGTCACAACAATAGATTCAGAACAATTATCTATGGGTTCTCGAGTCCGTTTTACTTCACCGTACGGTAATCTAAATTAACTTAAATACTTGGTCCGCTGTATAATACGAATAATGAATTAGGCGAAATCTCATATTATTGACATACGTAGATTAATTTAGGTTACTCTATGGTGAAGTAAAACGGACTCGAAAACCCATAGATATTATATACACTTCCATTATAACAGGCCTAACTGTATTTGTTTGGTTTGCTGTCCCAAGATGTGCCGATGAGCCTTGAATAGGCGAAACTGCAGTCCACAACAGAGAGTACGGCCAATCAAGGAATACATTAGGCCTCTACGTCACATTCTCATTTCAATTTCACATTGGTGAAAAAGAATCTTTGACATGTATAATTAATTATTGTTTAGCTAACAGTAGCATCAGGAATTTTTGTGATTATTATTTAACATTGTTACTTGTGTATACATATTTAACTGGTCATTACTGTTGTCCAGGGTTGAGGAGCTATTGTTAGTTTTTTGCCAAGTGTCACTTTACAACACTGTTTCTCAAACTTCTGTTTCCTATGTACCAGGTGTTTGTCTATCAATTTTCCGTCCTACTTACAGTTACCATCAACCAATCTGGCGTAAGACAGCTGAAATTGTTAGTTTGTTACATTTCACGTGCCTGTATTCCGTTTTACTTGTACATTTTACATTGCACGTCGTGGATTTTTTTTAACACTGACAATCACGTTGAACAACAGTGAAACATAAAATATTAACAATTAGAATATAGTTTTAATATGAACACCTATTGATACAAAAAGTCACACAGGATTTTGATTTGAAACTTTTTATTGCGAATCGATTATTCAAACTCTGTTTGTTTGAGAAGCAAAATTTCCAATGTAATTGCAGTCTTATGGGAGTGGTGTTTGTTTCTCAGAATATAATTCCGTAGTATTAGGTTAAAATGGTGAATGTTTTAATTAAGTTAAATCAATAATTTATATTTATATGGAAAATTTATTTCGGATATTATTTACAAATATTTTATTCATCCTCATGCAGTGTTTGTTGAAACTGAATGTTACGTGATAGCCCACATTAAAATTTCTCCACCTTCCTGGACCAAAGATGTTAGGGGAGACAAGAGTAGCTTCTGGTACACATTAGGTAAAAAACCGATCAGAAGCAAACAGTGACTTTTTACTTATTAACACTTAATAGCATACCCATGGGGCCCGCAAAGAAGTGTGAAATTGAATAAAAAAAGAGAGAGAGAATGAATTATGTTCCTAATTTTCCAGGTGGGAGCAAGTGCACCTCCCCCGGCGGACGCCCATGATCATGCCACTTCTTTTGCTAATGTTTAGAACTAAAAGTCTGTGTAATATTTATTTTAAAATTTAATTTTTTTTCTGCCTAATTACTCGAAGCAAGGAAAGTGTGAAATCGGGCGTGTGACTGAGAAAAATAACGCATAAGGCCAACCCCCTGTGCATATCACTGCAGATCTGTTTATCCATTTAATTTGCTTGCTTTGATCTCTCAGTAAAAAGCTGTTTGACATTTCTTCCATTTTCCTCTTAAGATGTTAGAAAATGGCCAGTACGTTAGTTGTAGATGCGCTTATTGTTGAAATTATGACCTTTCCAGCCATTCAAAGACTGATTTTGTATGTTTCCATATTTAGCGAATAATAGCGTGCTTCTAAACGTTGACGTAGGTGAGAGTTTGAATGACTGATTCGACAAAATCTCGTAACAAACGAGACTTTGGTTTTTGTTCGTACATTTCGTCACCTTACAATGTAAATCCGAACAAGGTGTAATTAGGGTCTTACATCTTTATCGCATCATTTTAATTATTATCGATAAAATGTTGTTGGTTAACAGAGATAGTGCTTCCTTCACTATGCACATTTCTTCAAAATTCTCTGTTCATATTTCGCTTGTTTCGTCGTCGATATTTTTTTCTCATCAACTCATCTGTTTTCAGACAGTGATCCAATTCCGTGCCATCCACAATCTAAGAACGTTCCATAACATCGTTTCAAGACAAGAAAATATTTCTAACGATAAAGATAGATGTTAAATACAATAATAAATAAACCTTCTCATGCAAGAGAGACCAATTGTAGCTGTCCATGCCAAGGAAGAGTAGCGTTTTGTGGTATTTTGGGCGTATTCATTATGGCCAAAGACCGTCTGGAGGGGTCGTGTGTTTTAACCACTAGCACCACTATATAGTAGTGTGTTGTATGTTTGTCAGTCAGAAGGCATTTAAATGACGTCACATAAGGGACACAATTCGTACTTTTGTGACGTCAGTAAAACGGCACTTCGTAGGCTATAACAGCATGGCATATGAACTTCAAAATTAAGAAATTAAAAGAAATTGTAACTCTTAATTTTGGTTTATTTGCTATTGAAATAAAACCCTTTCGGGGACCATGCGGAAGTACAACAAGAATATATTTTATATCTGTCGAGATGTCGATTGGTAGTGTTGATGTACACAAGTATTTGCTGCATCTTGCAAAATAAAAAGAAACTAGGCGGTCACGTGATAATGTAGCGGTGTACTGTTACGATGGGCAGTCGATTTTGGACGAGTCCAAGTTTCTATGAAAAAGAGGATGAGAATTTAAAAAAAAATATTATTTTGTTCATTGTTGATGTATCACAACAATACATTTGAATTAATTTAAGTTGAGCCACCGGATATTATTCATTTATCTGATCTTGTCGGTATCGCTTAACTTTTGCTTACCACCATTGCTTCACGTACCACAGTTTGATAACGCTACCATAGTGTTTTTGGTTTCATTGTTTTTTTTTCCGAAGCAGTAGTAGCACCGAACTTCATGACCATAACAGTGTATGTGAAGTGTAGTCTTTTGTGAAATATTCTAATTGAACCATACTTGTATTAAGAATATTTTGTGGTTTTATAATTATCCATCTAATCTGGTTAATAAGTGTAAGTTATTTCTTTGCTCATTGATTCAAAGCAACTGCATATGGTTAGGCTTTTATGTATTGGGTTCAACTATTTTTATAACTATAGAATGGTCTTATTAGTTTGAAAATTTGACTCGGTATCAACACGTATTCAAACTTCATGTAATTTGGTTAATAACTTTAATCATACCGTAATGCAGTTGTAACTGATTTACAACGCTAAAATCAGGGTTTCTATTCCCCTCGGTGGATACAGCAGGTAGCCCGATGTGGCTTTGCTATAAGAAAACAAAAAAAAAAACGCGCATTTGTAATTCCAAATTTACATAATAGGGAACAGTTGTACAGGATTTCAACCCTATAAACTTCTGGGGTCAGCTCGTCTATACACAAACACTTGTTATTTATAGAAAACTACTACTACATCGGCTGATAAAGAACCCCTCCCTCTACCCTGGCACCTACTATACGTAATTTCTTTACAGTATGTGTACGCGTTTGATTCCTTACAAGGAAAAAAGCCAGCCAACCTTTTGACTGTATACCATTTTTCTGTAAATACAAAATAACCTATGAAGCCAGCTGTATTTTAGAAAAACAAATGAAAGTAATGGTAATTTAGTAGATAAAATTCTAAATTCATGTCAGTGGTATATACAATTTATGAAAATGGTAAATGAAGAATGAGAAATAATTAAACTTACCATAAAAGTTCGCGATACGTATTTGATGTTTTTTGCAATTAGAATATTTCCGTGAAGAGTAATTTCTCCTGACGTCTGGTAAAAATTTAATAACAGTATTTACATTGTACGAAAAGTTGACAATTTCAATTTTGAGTAACATGACAACTGGAGAAAAAACTCAAATAGAGAAGTTGGTCGCCGAAACAGTTTTTCATTGTTACAATCAGTTAACTAAAAGCTCCCCACTGGCACGGTGGTAAGTCTTTGGACTTAACACTAAAAACCGGGATTCGATACTCGTGGTGGATACAGCATAGATAGTCCATTGTGTAGCTCTTTGCTGTATTAAAAACAAACATAAAAAAGAGAAAAAAAACATTAACTT